GTAAAAAACAACTGCCTGAGACAAATTGGTAAAAAAAACCTAGAGATAAAAACTTAGGTAAAGTTTTTGTGAGTGATAAACTTTCGATTCTCAAATTCGGAATTCCCGACATTTCATATTCTAAATATTGTGAAGTTGACATTTGTAGTATTTTACTTTGATTTTGTCATCAAAAGTAGATGTCTAAAAATGTGATGACTGTGTTTGATAATATTATTTGTCTGCTAACTCATAACTAGTTGAATCAATAGATTGATATTAGCGGATCCGTTAACTTTTTTTAACTAATCGCTTTCATTAGCGGTTTGAAATAAAATGTTAGTAACTTAAAATTCATATTAAAAAATGAATTTAAAAGTTTATATATTTAAATTAATTTTATTTCTTTTTATTTTTAAAAAATTTTGGATTTTTTTTAAAAGTATGTTTACGTTTATTTTAAATAATTACTAACAATATCAGTTTTAAGATATGTACATTAATGCGAGCACACACATATAAATTCATATATATTTAGTAATAATATTTTTAAAATGACAATTTAGTAGTTTTTTTAAGTCTACTCCATTTAAAAAATCTACCCTGGAATTCTACTCCATATGACTATTTATTTGTTTTATTTTTTTAAAAAAATTACTCCATGGTTATTTAAAATAAATGTAAATATAATTTTTAAAACCTTTTCACTTTTTAAAAATAAAACAAATAAAGCTAAGATAAAATATATACTTTTAAATTCTTAACTTTAATTATCATTTTACATCTTAACATTGAATAGCCAACAATTAAGTTACTAATATTTTATTTCAAATGCTAATGAAAGCGATTAGTTAAAAAAGCTAACGGAATCCGCTATTATCAATATGCTGATTCAACCGGCTATTAGCTATCAAACAAATGTTATTATCAAACACGATCGTTGACATTTTTAGACTTTCACTTTTGATGACAAAATCAAAGTAAAAGGACCCAAAATATCAATTTCGCATACTAAATTTCAGCTAAAACTTCAATCGGGAAGACATTCAAATGAATTCTTGAAGATAACTGCGCAGTTAGAAACGCAGATATCTTCAAGAATTCATTTGAATGCCTTCCCGATTGAAGTTTTAGCTGAAATTTGGTATGAGTAAACTAGACTTAATGAATAAGATGCTCAAAAAATTTCATCAAAAAATTCCACCGGAAATCACCCCAAATGGCAATGGCCGGACATGGCCTCCTAAATAAGGCTCATTTGACCTTTTTTGGTTAGTACATGAGCTTATTTGCACCTTTTTCCAATTCAAATATGCCTTTGTATGGAATATACTCCCTCCGTCCCCTTTTAAATGTCCCAGAAGAGGGTGTCACGAGTTTTAAGAAAAATGAGTTTGTGTGGTTGATATTAATTTATAAAGTAAAAATATAGTAAGAATAAAGTAAGAATGATTTTGAGCTACACAAACTTTACCAAATAAGGTATGAGACAATTAAATAGGAAGATCCCAATATGATAAAATGGAACATTTAAAAGGGGATGGAGGGAGTACTCCGTAACATACTAGAAGATTATCAACTTTGATTCCAAAATTTCCATCTAAGGTGTAATTAAACTATACGTCATAATATTTCAAATTTAATAATGATTTTTTCATTTTAGTTATGGAAATTGACTAGAATTATTATGAATATAATCTCATGGTTTCCTAAGTGTAAAGTTCAACATATATAGAATAATAACTACTCCACGAAAATTATTATTACCGTCGTTGTACTTAAGAGATCACATTTTTTAAACAATTTATTTTAATTTTAAATATGTAATAATTATAATTATTACCCAAATTTGGGTCGAATAAATTAACAAATATCCCTATTTCGAAAATAATGTTAGCAATTACTCCCTCGGTCCCGTTGGGATGTTCTCGGTTTGACCTACACACATATTTAAGAAATAAACTTACCAGGGGGTAAATTTTACTGATTTGACACTGTTTCGGCGCTGTTTGACACTAGTTTTTTTTGCACTGTTTGACACTGTTTTGATGTAGGATAACTTTCCATTAAGGAAAATGAGAACTTCTTCTTGGGACGGCTAAAAAAGGAAAGCGGGAACATCCCAACACGGGACGGAGGGAGTACTTGTTTCCGGGGGGCAATATCGAAATGCAGCATATAAGATAATAATGTCGAATTATCAAATTTATTTCTTCAACTCATTTAGGGTCAACATAATCACTGTTTATCCAATTTGTTCTTGCAAAGAACAACTTAATACTCCGTATATTTGAAATGCCATTAGTTTTAGTTACACAAGTTCACAATCCTTAACTTATGTTATAATATTTCCAATTCTCTTTCAAGTAACTATATTCATAAACAAATGCACTAGTAAAATTAAAATTGGCATTGATTTTTATTTAGTCATTTTTTTGAAGAATATTTTTTATTTAGTTATTTATAAACTAAGTTTACTTTTTATGACTTTCGAAAAGTATAATCACATATACGTATTAGTTTAGAATCTATTCACAATTTGCGATGAAAATGATTTACTGAAAATGAATAATATTATCATTGTTTCAAAATCAGTGATATTAGTGAACATTATAAGAACACTGCAAAATACTCCGTAAGTGATATCAGTGAACATTATAGGAACACTACAATGTTATTTTAAATTCTATAGCACAATATAATTGCACATTAGAAAAATGTAGTGATGTTTTAAAATGGTTTGGAAACAATACAAAATCTTAACTATAGGACTATAGGAGTATACCATATACAAATTAAAATAAAAATAACTTGTAATCATATTAATGCAATTTTTTACTATCTACTGTTTAATTCTAATACTATCGTATGAAATTGAATTGAAAAATTATAAATTTTGAATAAATGCATAATACATACTCCGGTATTAAAGTTAAGGATGTTAGCAATCTAGATGCCAAATGATTGCAAACGTACTATCAATCTAATAGCTCAAAATATAGTTTTGACTATTATTTAATTTTAATAAACTAATACACTTTTGTGAGAAATCATCAAAAATTACCAATGAAAAATAAAAATCAAAGAAATCAAAAGCTATTACATTTTAGATATTTGGTTGATAGTTTTCTACTCCGTATCTTTCAAATCCCTGATTGATAGTTAATACTTCATATATCTTTAAATCATCGAGTTATAAAAGTAATACAAACGATTGTATTATTACAAGAAATTAATTGAGCAATTCAAAAAAAGTACTTGCGTGTATTTCAATTAATTTCTTGTGATAATACATTTTTTAATTACTTTTATATATCAAGTAATCAAAGGATTTAAAATAGTAATTTATTACAAACATATATCTTTAGAGTTATTGCTAATTGTTAATATATCGTTTAATCTGGATTCATAAAAGTAATTAATGTTTTTGGGTTAATGGCCCAACACAGGGGTCGGCCCATTACCCCCTTATCGAAGATTGCCAAGGCTCAATGGGGGAAGGCCTAAGACGCGCGGCATCAAAATACACGGTCCATAAGAGGCAATTGGCCATAATGAACCAAGGGGCCGCAAGATGTTTGTCTGACCCAACAAGAAGATCGGCCTTTGTAGCCTTAGTCCATCAAAGCATCGGATGACAGTCTAGGGCCCATGGCCATAATACTCGCATAAGACGTACGGAACCTAGCCCTTGCTCCACCAGAAGTCCAGAACAAAGAGCCCCAGATCCTGAAGAAGCTCGTCCATGAACCTTGGCAGGAAACCAAGATATTGGCGAGAGACGCCTTTAATGCAGTGGATTTGGTGGTTGGAAAGCTAGCCATCCACAGCCTTCCACGCCAACAACATTAACTATCCCTTGATAGTATAAATGCATTTATTTCATGGTAAAAGATTGACAACTAATTACCCATAGCAAATAGCAATTATCTAGCTTTTCTTTAGTAAACTAGACGAACGACCTTGAGACTTTGTAGCGAGAGTGTGTTGTATACGGACCCTTATTAACATTTAATAAAATACGGCTCCCTAGCTAGTGAATCTTGACCCATCTACTTGCTTACCTCTCTTATTCACTAAACTCACCACTCTAGACCCTAGGGAAACGTGTTGGGCCCTCAGGTTGGAAAAATAAAACTCAACAAATGTAATAAAAAGATTTCATATTGCATCCTATTTAAGGAACGGTGTTGCTTAATTTTGTCTGACCGTGCGGCCTTCTGGAATTGGAACGCAACCACGCTTAAAACTACATCACCATTAGTGCTTCAATTAACATTGGTAAGGTTAATTGTGTGTTAAACGCTAACCTAACATAGTAAGAGTTTTAACCTGTCTTCCTATAGAGTTGATCTTTGAAAATTGAATCTTAATCCCTTATATGATAGTAATGTCAATCTGATCCGTGATCCTGATGTTTGTCCTCTAGTAAAAGATACGTGATCCAAATGATCTGTTATATTAAGACTTTGTGAAAATAACTACACAATAAAAACAGACAATACTTTGGGCTACTCTTTCTAATTTCTATTAATTCAATACCTTGAAATGGAATTCTATGTATTAATACAATTCTATTAACTCATAGTCCATTACAATATGTAAATCAAGAGTGCTGTTCGAGTCAGGCGGCCTGACCGGACAGCCCCGTGCGGACTTCCCCGTTTGGGGTCTTCCCGGTGGAATTTTTTTGAGCATGTTCCTCATCAAGTCTAGTTTATCTATACCAAATTTCAGCTCAAAATTCGATCAGGAAGTCAATCAAATAAATTCTTGAAACATACTGTTCTTTATATATGCGCAGAATAACCAGTATGTTTTAAGAATTTATTTGATTGCCTTCCCGATCGAATTTTGAGTTGAAATTTGATATGGATAAACTAGACTTGACGAGGAACATGCTCAAAAAATTTTATCAAAAACTTCCACCGGGAAGACCCCCAAACGGGGAAGTCCGCACGGGGCTGTCCGGTCAGGCTGTCTGACTCGAACAGCACTCTGTAAATCAAACCCCTAAGAAGAAAAATAAAGAGGGGACCATAGGATTGATTTATCCAAAGATTATACACCATGTTTCAGAATAGATCTGTGTATTGGGAGACAAACAATGAAATTGTAATAGTTTTGTGTTCTAAGACAAATAATACAATTCCTTCTTTCCTATATGGACAAGGAGAAACATTGACTTAAAAAAAACTTAAAGAAGCCTTAATAAAAGCAGAACAACAAAAAACTTTAAAAACGTGACTATGGACTTCTAGAGAAATTTTTACAGCGCAATGTTGGAGTGCTTTGTTCAAGAAGCAGTTCTCCATTGTAGCTCGATCTGGATCTTACCATTCTTGGAGTCAATAAGGTGATAGCGCTCATTAATTCTCTTGTTGGTCACTACATCAGCAAGGGAGATATCCACATATCCCAGACTCTCCTGACATCCAAAATTTTACCAGAAACCATTAGTAAAAAAGCACATTTTTTTCTGTATGTATGTAAACATGTTAGCCTTGAACTCTTGACTGTAGAGTTGTTATTTATCCGAACTAGAAACGCGTAGAGCAAACAAACAGGAAAGACAACAAGCAAGCTTTCATGCAAAAAAATAACTAATTGATTAATAAATCCAGGCGCACCTTGGGATGTAAGAGACCTATCCTGGATGAGATGCTAAAAACCTCAACACGAATCCTGTCATTTGTAGGTGGCTCCTCCAACATGAACTGAAACTCCTCATTCCATCTCGGATCTCTGTTTTTCTTAACAGCCTGTGATAATAAATTAGGAAAAGGGTGCATAAAAATGCCTGCTATGATTTATGAGCCAGACACATATCATTAGTGGAGAACCTATAGGGGCTAGGGATATCTATAAATCGTGAAAGAAGATATGCTATTACAACTCTAAAGTAGAAAGTACCTTGGTTTTTCTCTCTTCTCCTTTGAAGTGGAAACGAACGTAGGGATTTGTGTGGTGCTTCCCTTCAAGTTCCTCAGCTTCATGGACAATGACTACTAACAATCCACCAGCAGCAGGAGTTCCTTCTGGAGCCTTTTGTACTTCACCTGTCTCTTCAATGGTACTACTAGCCATTTCATCATCTGCAAAAGGCTTGTACATAACTTCTAGAACAATCTGACCCCGCGACTTCTCATTTTGAGGGTCATCTGGGTTAAGGGTTTTCAGAAGATTAAGTGTCAACACTTTAGTCTCTTCGGGTGTAAGATCTTTCAAAGGGACAATATTTATTCCCATCTTTTCATGTTTCCCTACCTGTAAGATGTAATTTTTTCTTTAGTTGAAAGAGAGCATAGAGGCATTTTGGTAGGAGGTTTTGGCTACATTTTGGTAGTTAAAATTGCTGAATTACGAAAAATTATTTATGACTACCTCCATCCCTAAATTTGTATGTGGTTGATCCCAACAACCCAGTTTTCACTTTCTTAATATCTATGCCAGTCAAAATTGGCGAAGCAACTTGGGATGGCAGATATTATATATATTAGTCATAAAAGAAAGAAAGGGCGAGAAAAAACTAAAATGATTATCTTAAGCAACTTTAACAAAAAAAAAGGGCATCCATCCCTACTTTTCATGATTAACCATTTAGAGCCCACACAAATAGAAGTGAAATAAATTAGTTTGGGAAAAATGGCTCATATGGTTGATAAGCGGAAATAAGTATCTACCAACCAGCCACATAAACAGGATTTGATTATTAAATACATACCTGCTCCCAGTCATAGACAGCAATATCTAAAGATTGGGATTGTGGGTCCTTGATGACAAAATTGAATTCTTCATTCCACTCAGGATTCAAGTTTTTTTGCTTTACTCTTGTTTTCTTTGAAGGGAGTTTATCCTCAGCAAGTTTGAGTTTCACATAAGGATCTGAAGCCCCCAAAAGATCCTTCTTCTTCAGGTTCATCGCCCTCACAACCTTCACGTGAAGGATTCCGACTGGCCTCTGTGTTGCCCTAGTTAGCAACATTATTGGATAGAAGCTGTGTCACTAAAAGGGTAAAAACAACAAAAGAACTACGGTTGTTGGGACTGAAATATAATTAGCTCACTTGGCAGGATCCATTATCTGGACCTCTAGAGTTTTCGGCCACAGATACATATTTGCAACCTGATCTTTAATAATTTCCTGAAGAAGTTTAAAAAAAATCAATATAAGGAAATCAATATTGATTGGACCAATGAAGGGCATGGATTAGTTTTTGCAATTTCAAACTCATGTATAAATACTAATGTCCAAGCGGAAATAAAATAGGTATAGACCTGAACAATTCTGTAAAGGCCAGGAATAGACATTGTATCAGCTCCTAGTAATTTTAATCCAAAATCAACATGTGGCTGCAATATAATGTCAGCATATCTGTTAAAGTTCCATGAAGATTAAGGATTTAATAATTGATACTATTGGCTTGATTATAGTAATGAACAACGAAACAGAACTTTTTCTTTTTTACATTACACAGTCGTTCAAAAAGGTGTCTTTTGAACCCCCTAACCTTTGGAAAAGAAGTGGACATGTACAAAAATGCACTCCAAGTTCCCAAACCCTTACAGATTAGAAAATCCACTTCCCTTCTAAAGCATGTGATTCCATTTTGTGACAGAACTGACCTTGTCCATGAGAGAAACAAGTATTTTGGCAAAACATGGAAAAGTTGGGACCAATGGCTTCAGTGTAATACGCGGACATGCAAACACTTGTAGGTCAAGGACCTGAAATACTCCAAAAAATAAAAACATTACAACTACCCTCTTAACATTGCTGGGGAAAAAGTAAGATTCAGAGTCAATTGAAGAAAATAAAATATCCGAGTGATCTTGAGCATAAATCCGTATGTTACTTTTTTTTACTATGAAAGTACCTGAGCAGTGGCTTTGAGCCCAAATGCCTTGATTGCAACAAGGATGTTCGGATTACCTGCCCACTTCAAGGCTACTTCCATTATTAGTTCCTTCTCCTCAGTAGAATAAACTTTCATTCCTAATAAGCATAAATTAGAAAGAAACAAAACATTAGAATTCCTAGTTAACATCTCACAAGTGAAAAGAATAATGTGTAACACGGAAAAAGACAATATTCGACGTGTTAAACACTATGGGTCATCCGGAAACAGTCTCTCTGTGCTTTAGTACAGGGTAAGACTGCGTACATCCGACCCCCCTACCCCACCGTAGGTGTGAGCCTTTGCGGCATTGGGGTAATGATGATGATGACGACGATGATGACGGAGAAAAAACAATATGTGGAGAGTATATAAAACAGTTGAAAACAGTTGTAAAACATCATATATAAAACAGAAAGCACAAAACTGGCATGGAAGTAAATAAAGGAAGAAAGCAAGACTTACTCAAATCCATAGCGCAGAGTGTCAGAGTAGGGAACATAATCATAAAAGTTTAAAAATACTATCTCCGCCCCAGTTTAAGATTCTCATTGAAAAATGGCATGGTTATATGGACAATAACTAAATAAGATAATTCGAGTATATATTCAGAAGTAATTTTGATGGGTATATACTATATAGCACAATGAGGTCATTGATGATAACTTGTGATGTATAGGTATAATATTTTTAATATTTGATGGTCAATTTTCCATTTAAGAGTGCTAAATGTTTCCTAAAATAGAAATTGGAAAGTTTAGATGGGACGTTCAAAAAAAGGCACGTGAGAAGCTTAAGCTGAGATGGAGGGAATAACTCTTTAAGGTGTGAAGAGCAGGGTTTGAATTTGCTTGTGCTTTTAAGAAGTAAAATAGTTTAGTGACTATCAAGAAAGTTCTTAATTGTAAAGTTTGGTGATGTTTGGAAATAAAAGTGAATACTAAGAGCATCTTCAATGCTATAATGTGCACGGTGCACATGTGGCAGCAGTGATAGCCACATAAATATTAGCAAATAAATTATCTCTCTCCTTATTTGAATAATTTTATACAATTTTGGTAAGTTTTTTCCTGCAATGTCAACAGCAATGTCAACATTTGACGGTCTCTTTGACATTGTGGAGAAAAAATTACCAAAACTGTATAAAATCATTTAAATAAAGAGAGAGAAAAATTAATTAACTGATATTTATGTGGTCATCTCTCATGCCACGTGTGCACCGTGCACATTATAGCATTGGAGATGCTCTAAATATTACAAAAAGAAAAACAATTCTACGCGTCATCTGACTTGCATTCAACTGTTAGCTTCATCGTGCTTAAAGTTAAGCAGAAAGATCTACCTAAAACCACATTTTTATTAGCTTTTAAAAGAAAAAGGCCAAAAGTGCTTAAAAACAATAGAAAACAGCCCTGTTATACTATACAATGTCAAGTGACTGAAGAATAGCTGAAAACAATCACATATATTAAAATACAGAAGATTTCATGATATACAACAATATGATTTTTAGAGAAAGCAAAAATATAATCACATCATCTAAGGCTCCATATGGTTTCTGGAAATACTAGAGAAAGATAAGAGGACAAAAAATAAATATAGACTAAAACCTCAATAAATCTGTTTCAAGATATTCTTAAACCCTTATTCCTTTTATGTCTATTATATAGACAAGAAATCTAAATGTACACAATGTAAGTGAAAAATAACCATAAATCATTTCCCTAGGCATTTCCCAAAGTAAAGCCAGACATTAAAAAACCACTTTAATTGACATTTTTTTCCCTTCCCCTAGAATTTTTGGATCCTAACATACCCTGAGTGTCTGTTACTCCACAAACCAAAATAGAGCATTTCAGCTTCCTAAATCGCAAATGTTAACAACCGTATATTCAGAGTATTTTGAGTGAGAAAAAGCTTATTAACCTTGAAAAGTAGGAGGAAGGCAGCCGAGAGTAAGTGTTTCAAATTCAACAGACTCAATTTTGTACTTAGGGATTTGCTCAGCTATTATAGGCTTCGCTATCTGCTTTACTTGTTTGCAAATTGCCTGAACACTTTTGCGCACATTAATCAACACACATTAAACATGTAACGTGTGAGTGTTCAGAGAGAGTGTTTACTAAAACAAACCTTGTCCAAATATGGCCACATTGTCCCAACAAACTTATTAAGCCAATCGAGCTACATTATCATCGGGAAAAAGATAATTAGAATCCATTTGGTTTATCTAAGTGTGTCAGATAGTGCATCAACTCATCAAGATTGTACCCGATCAAAATCAGGATTCTTCACCCAAAATGGTATCTCTGGAAGCATCTTTTGAAGACTCTTTGAATCTTTCTCAGCCAGAGGACGAATATCAGGGTCCTAAAGAGGAAGGGATTTATTAAAAAATATATACAAATCAGGACTAGTCAAACCCAGAACAGCAAAAGAAGAAGTTAAAAGACCTTTTGTTAAGGGTGAATTTGGCCGAAAATATATACAGATCAGGACTAGTCAAACCATGGCTCATAATGATGATGAAGTTACTGAAGTTGTTGGATTTTTATAGATTCAAATATATTATATTGATAGTACGAAAATAAATATTTGAAGAAGGATAAAATGATATCTGCCACAATTCCACTAATTTGACCTATAAGTGTACCTTTCGTCCTACTTTTATTATAAAAATCAGTAAGCACCTTCAAATAAACAAGTATTTGGCATTAAAAAGGGCTGAATAAGTTATATAAAAAAAAAGAGCCATTAAGAAAATGAAAATAGCCTCAAATTAATGCTAGTTTAAGTCAATAACAGGAAACTTTGAAGTATGAACTAAATTGCAAGCAGATTCACATAGATAAGCCAAACACCAACAGAAAACTTTTGACTTTCAAATAACCTATCGAAAGAAACTGGAAAACAAACTGACCTTAACATCAGTTGATTGGAAATAGATGAACATGAAGTAGCCAATCACAAGCCCAACTGAGATCCCTATTCCAAACCCAAAAAACCCCATTATAGTGCTTACGAAACCCATCTCGGATCTTCTTTCAAATCGATGAAACCTCAGCTACATCATTCTCTGCAGAACATTCATATGTTTACCCAAAAATAGAACATAAAACAACAGTTACAGAGCCAATAGATATCAAACGAAGAACAGAAAAAGGAAAAAAGACGATTCTTTTTTTGTTTGCTTTAAATTGCAGCCACAGAAAAACTCACACACTGTTCATATGATTACAGATATGAGGAAGCATCACCCAACATAATGGGGCATGAGGTTTCAAAGAATAATGAAAAGGGAGAGAGAAGACAAAGCCAGTATTGCACTACTGTATCATTTGCAGTAAAAGAAAATTTAATGTTTGCCCCATTCTTCGCACCCACCCAAAATAATCAATGTGTACGGAGCAGACAAAGACGAACCACATGTAATTAAGCGAAGGGCTAATCACAATGTCGCAAATCGGCTTATAGGTGAAGCATCTTTTTCACCATTTCGCGCTGAATAATGCGGGGAGTCCACAGTCTAGAGTCTACGCATGGGGCAAGAAAAACGTTGGATTGTTGGTTGAATTGGACCCACGTAGCTTTTTACGGTATCCTCCTTCTTTTGGACCATTTTCGGTCTCAAATTAGAATTAAACACTTCAGATCAAATTTTTATAGTTATAAAAAAAATAAGTAGAGTAAAGACTAGTTCATAATTTCATACAGACTCCAACAGTTCAGATCAAATCAGACCAATCTTTATATGCTTAATTCTATTGTTAAAACCTCTTTTTCCCTTAAAACACTATTATTAACAACATGAAATTATATTTGTTGAAGAATAATGGATATTGGAGAAGATGAACAATATGTTGTTTGTGAATGAAATATAAAGAAATTAAATCCTTAAAAGAGAAAGATGAAGAATGTGTTAAACTAATCTTCTATCTAAAAACAAAATTGTATCGTCTACACAATGTATTGAGAATATGTATTGAGAATATGTCGTTTCTTAGTAGTAACGGCATGGGGGTGTATTACACCCGTAGGAGAGGAGTCTGGGGGACATTGGGGACGTACAAGGGGTTGAATGTGATAATGATCTCGGTATGCATGTATGTGGTGCACCTAATGCGTAGTCAAGTGATGTTTCTCTACATGCACATACATTTCTCATTTTCAATCTGTGTAGAAGTAATGTATGTTGTTCATACCTATGTATGAACAACTTACTACATTAAAGTGCTATATATTTGTTGTTTGTGTACACACAAAATTTTTAATGTTAAGGTGGTTCGTTTGATGTGTCTGTGTATATACAAACTGCACACAGAAGTTTTGACTCTAAAGTATTGTACTTTTAATGTCTGCACATAAAACTTATTGCGTTGAAGTGTTCTAGGGGTGGAAACAGGGAGGGGCTGAAAGGGGTCTCGGCCCCTGCAATAAAAAAATTTCTTAAGTATATATTATGTATAAATACTTTTAATCTATAGAAAACATGTTGATATTTTAAAATTTTGCCCCAACAATGTAAAATTTTTAAGAACCGACCCCCTTAACCATAGATTTCTAGCTCCGCCACTAAAGTGTTCCATGTTCATTGTTTGTGTACATAAAAATTTTTAAGTTTATATTATGTGCAAATGAGGTATACCTGCAATAAATATTGTAAAAAAGAATGTAGATGGTTATATACCCGGAAATGAATTTGAGGTTGGTAAGTTGTTTTTTGGGGGAGATAAAGTGTATAACTTTTATAAGAAATACACCAAAAGTGTAAGTTTTGAGCGTACCATATATCGAATTGTAGCCCTAAGCAAGGACAATCCGAAACCACTTTGACCTGACCCAAATCGGAAGTGGACCCCACTAAAAAATTTGCCCTAAAATGACCATTTAACGCAATTTATTAACACATTTTCCAACAGTCCTCGCTCCAGATTTGGTAATAGTAAAGTTGATGTACAATGGACCCCCCCCCCCCACCTTTCACCCTTAAGTGTAACGTGGATGCAACTATTTTTGAAGATGAGAGGGGGGATGTGATGGAATGTTGTGTCCGCGATCATCAGGGGAAGTTTCACCTAGCACATTCAGAATGGTGCCAAGTAACTCTATCTCCGACTGAAGAAGAAGTTTGGAGTCTTCAAAAGTCAATGTTATGGAGCCAGGAGTGGGAAAGAGGGCATATTATTTTTGAGATGGATGCCAAACAGGTGGTTGAGGATGTGCGCAGTGATTTGGAGGATATGACAGATTATAGATCGTTTGTGAAGGAATGCAAATTATTGCAAGCATAAACTAACAATTTCAGGTTTTTTTTACTAGGCGACAAGTAGGTAGTGCTCATGATTTAGCTAGGGCAGTTACAAATTAATTAGTACTACCTCCGTCCAATAATGGTTGTCTCATTTCAATTTGGCACGATTATTAATATAGTGGTTGAAAAGTAAAAGTTGTGGTTGAAATTTGAGTAGTATGAAGTGAAATGATATGGACCACAAATTTCTTACCAAAAAGAGAAACATGACATTCTTTTTGGGACAACCCAAAAAGGAAAGTAAGACAACCAAAATGGGACGGATGGAGTATAGAGTAGCGTTCTTATCAGGACGCTCTGATGAGAACTACTTCATTTATTTAGGCTGAAATGAAGTATATGATTAATGTTTTTATCCATTAATATAATATCAATTGTTAGTTCCAAGAGTTAAATTTTAATTTTGTTCGAAAGAAGGTCCTACAACCTCTCTTGTTCTTAACAGTTGTCTAACGCAACGGTTAATATTAATTTCCATTAGTACACATACACCAAGTAATACATAAAGGAGTAATATATAAATAAATTGCCATAAATAAAAGTAAATAAGAGTAAATATGTTCGGAAATTTCAAAATAGGAGTGTTATGTTGAATTATATAAAAAGGAGTAATTGATGCAAGTTTGGAAATTAAATTAAATAAAAAAATACCACCATCTATGACAATACATGTCATGTCTATAGCCTGGTAGTGTCAAAACATATTAGTGAATTTTCGGGATCACAATAGAGTATTAGCACTACTTTATCTGTCCCGTTAAGATTGTGTCATCTTTCCTTTTTTGTTCGTTATACTAAGATGGTCTCATATCAAATTTGATCTATTTATGTTTGATCTGGTCAAGTCAGAACTAGTATGGTCCAATAGATGTCTGAACCAGGGACGAAGCCAAAATCTTATGGAAGTCCCCCCCCCCCCCCCCCCCCCCCGAAGTGTTTATATGTTGAACACTCTTTAGTTTTGACAACACATTTCTGGTATTTGTTTTAGTTCTACACTTTATTGTTCAAACATATCTAATACAATGTAATATATTTATTTTGTAGTAAAATAATTACACATTTACACCTCCAAAATAGGGCGGGCACCATGATGTGAGTTTTCTCACACTTAAAATAGATCGTAATATAGTGGTGTAAGTACGAGTATCGTCTCCACAGGGACGGACAAAAGGGAATCAAGAATTAATTAAATTCAGCGATTAAAAAGAAAATAAAATAAAAGCGTCGTGCGAGATTGGCTGGTTTGGAAAATAAAACTAATGCGAACAATTAAACTAGGGGGTTCTTTCTAATTAATGACGAAGGGAACGGGGATCGATTCCGGGGTAACCAAATTTCTGGCAGATCAGGCCTAATTACATGAAATTAATTTAATTGAGCCTAGCTAATCATTACTAAGTTCTTACCGCTCTCGCGGCGTAGAGTACAATACTTTAGGGGACCAGGCTGATCTCTCATGCGACAGGATCCTGAATTATTGCCAAGACGAGCGAGCTTACGGCCCCTTAATCGCTACTAATCTCTTAGCGAACGATTAAGTGTGTGTGAATGTGTCCTAGAACAAATTAGATCTCTCTTAATTTATTCTACATGCAATTGTAATTCTAGTCGCGATTCTAGGTTACAAAAGATATCAATTAAATTATTCAAACACAAATTAAACGGCATTCATGCAATTAAACCGACAAGAATCTAGCCATACATCATGATCAACCCCTTCATCAATCCCAAATCTCTAATTAAAACTACTCACAATTCATAATTGAAGAATCAATAGAATTGGAATAAAAAGAATTAATTATCATTAATTAAAAAGGTGGAACTTACAAAGAATCCCAAAAGATTGGTGAACAAGGCTGAAAAGCCCTCTAAAATTCGTGCTAGGCACTCTCTCTAAGCTTCCCCCTCGAAAACGGGGGTTTACAGGCTGTTTAAATAGAAAAATCAGGTGAAATTTGAGTTGAATTAGGATTTTTGGAGCCAGACACGATGTCAGGCACGATCGTGCCTTTGATCGTGCCTCCGGAGCAAAAACGCGCATTTTGGGCAGGCACGATCGTTCCTGGCTGGCAGTAACTCCGCGGTGCTTTTCTCTTCAGGCACGATCGTGTCTGACTTTGAGGGCACGATCGTGCCAACTTAACTTCCGAATTTGACAAAACTTCCTTCATGAAAGTTGTAGATAATGAAGTCCTCTATCTACCCCAATTTTCCGAATGTGATTTGAATCATCCAATCAAGAGATATGATCAAAACGGTTGAAGGTGTCTTTCTGAAATCGCAGCAGAGATCATCTGAATTCATCGTCTGTTTTCACCTTCTTCCTCTCAGATTCTCGCAAAGGTGTCTTCATATGATTTGTAGCCCTTGAAGTTTGCTTTCCTATGGAACTTGAATTGTGTACATTGGATGTTTCTACAAAGAGATATGCTTGAACGATTGACAGAAGGTCATCCTGATCGTCGTTTTCAAGCTTCATTCATCTTCTTTTGATCCCGAAGCCAATCCTAGAGCTCTTTTTCCTTCAAATCTTCATCGTGAATCTTCCGGTGACCTCCAAAGCTATCAAATCATTCTCAAATGCTTCTCAAATCATCCCGATTGTTCCTCAAGTGCCGGTGCCCGGGCTCAAATTCCCTGATTTTGACTACAAACAACACAAAACTCGAACCAACGCCCGGTAAACATAACTTGAGCTAACATTGAGACTTGTAACACCTTAAAACTAGGAAAATCATCAAAAGCCGATCTCAACACGCATCAAATACGTGTCAAAATACGGACTTATCACACCACTTGATGATGGAGATTTTTTTATTAACTATTTTTTATCATCAAAACAAGCCTCTATTCATATCAAAAGATTCGGGATCATTACATCAAACAAAGGGAAATTAAAATTGACACCAACTGAACTCCAACAACTACGACTGTAAACTCTATGATCAAACTTTGAGATGGTCACCCCTGAAAGAGAAACACGAATCACTAACCATGTAGTGGGCTTGACACATCCAAACATGTTCCCATAGATCCAACCATACCCAATGACATAAAGAGAGGCTAAAAACTCAAACAAACTATCAAAATCAACAACAAAGATGAACACAAGAAAACAAATGACAAACAGAAAAAAATTACTGGGAAAACTTTCATGGATTCTAGCGTCTTGTACAACCCATGGTGGTGGTTCAGGCGGAGGTCGGACCGTCGCTCGAATGATACCCTCTCTCAGTAGCGTACCCGCCGCCGTATGACCCAAATCCATGCCATCGAATGGAGCGTTCAACCTCTCCACGCTAACCATGTCTCGATCATCATATCCCTATGCCTCTCTCCCGCTTCCACCATCTTCTCGCTGCCACGATCATCCATCCCGAACCACGTCAAAACCAAGGCAATCCGGCGCAGAGCTGCGTCGATTGAAAGAAATGCCGCACCAAGGCGGCGAAGGACAAACTCTACGTGAGAGCTCTCGCTAGGGAAAAACGACGCTAGGTTTCTGCTCGCAATGGGATAATTATTTTTTTTATTAACTATTAAAAATTGGGAGATAGTCAAAGTGATTGATGCTATTATATTAAAATAAACAAAAGTTGAGGGGCCTAATTTTTTTTACTTGATAAAATTTAATGAAATAGAAATGTTGGGAGGGGTCAAGGCCCCCCATGGTTAACACACACCCCGTCCCTAATCTGGACTATGTGTTTTCATAACTATTAAAGTCCGATCTATTTAAAACCGGTTTGATGTAGGATGCACTAGTACTGAAATAAATTCAATTAAAAACATCATTATTCTTACTTTATCAGTTCAATATCAATCACATAAACTCATTTTTTATACCCACACATCCTCCTCTTGTACCAATGCAAAGGAGACGGAGTTAGAACTTTTTAAGGAGAAGTAACACTTTTATTTTAAAATTATCAATTTTTTTTATTTTTATTTCGGGGATTATTCTATATGTACCGGTGTTTGCGACATCTGTACTTAATTAACTCAACTAAGTCTTCTCCCACCTAAAACTTTCTTGACTATTTTTGTAAATTCCTGTTTTCCTTATCCCTTCATCAGCCCATCTCGAAAAATCCTCTCTTCCTTCTCCCGTCCTCAACTCAGGTCGCAAAATCCTTTTCTCCTTATCCCTTCATCAGAGCTCCTACTCCAGGTCTCCACCGTTTCCTCAGCCTAATGTATCACAAGTTCTGGCTTCTCAGCCTCCTCTAAGGAGCACGCTAACTATATCTATCTATATACATATGCATATCTCCAACAAAAATCTTAAATCTAAACACTTCCCTCTGCAAATTTTATCACAATTACACCCTTTTCTCAATGCTTCCATCCAAGATTCTCTTCAAGAGTATTGATTTAGTTAGAGTTGTGCGCAAATGGACGGTCCTAGCAAAAGCAATTCATCTGAGGTAAAGATAATTCTCATGGACTAAGGAGTGAGGAGGTACATCTATTAGAATTCTATTCGGTATTTATTTATTTTACCATGATACATCTTCTCTTTCACTTATCATGGCTTGATTCCATGTTGGGTTTGCTTTCCATGACATTAGAGTTGGTTTGTGCTGATGAAAAATATTGAAGTATTTATTATGGCCTATATTAACTTTATGCACATAACATGTTTGATGAAATGTTTGATTGAGTTTTACCTTCTCAAGTCTCAACAGTGTGTTTCATTGGTTCCATATTCGGTTTGTTTATGTTTTTTTTTCTTTAATACCTTTTCAATCATTTGTTTTTCCATGAATTCATTATTCTTACAGTATTATAAATTTCAGAATGATACCCTTGAAATAATCAGCATCTTCAATTGTAAAAGTTGTAGTGCATTATACTAAAAACTGCATTTTCAATATTTATAGGTTAAATAATGGATGTTTCTTTATGTGTTAAAATAACAAAAGGCTGACCAGTCATGCCATTTTAGGCTGGAGGTAATAAGATTTGAAGTAAAAATGCATCATTAATTACACATTAAACTAAACTTTGGATCTCATCCTTCATTCTCATTTAAGGGCTAATGAAAGAACAAAAGCTTTAAGTCACTTCTTGCTAAAAGTGGAATCACATCATACAAGAAACTGCACTACTTACAATCTTAGTCGTCTCTAATCATATATAACCTTGAAAGAATGTTAATGACATATGACATGTAGCAAAAGGTATCATAATAAAGTCATTATGCCCTTATAATCTATTATAAATATCTGAGAACTATGTCCTTATAATCTATTATACATGTCACACAAAAATACTCCGTAACAATAGTATACACAAAAATAATGCACTTTTCTATTGGCTAAAGCGTCAAATAGGTCCTTGAACTAACTTAAAGTGTTCAATTTGCCCCTTATATATACAAGAGGTTCTGTCCGGCCGTCGTCAATTGGGGCGGTTCCCAGTGGAATTTTTTTGATGAAATTTTTTGGGCATCTTCTTCATTAAGTCTAGTTTACCCATACCAAATTTCAGCTAAAAATTCAACCGGAAAGGCAGTCAAATGATTTTTTGAAGATAACTGTGCAGTTAAACAGCGCAGTACATTTCGGAAAATCATTTGATTGTCTTCCCGGTTGAATTTTTAGCTTAAATTTGATATGGGTAAACTAGAGTTAATGAAGAAGATGCTCAAAAAATCTCATTAAAAAATTCCACCGGGAACCGCCCTAATTGGCGACGGCCGGACAAAACCTCCTATATAAGGGGCTAATTGAACACTTTAAGCTAGTTCAAGGGCCTATTTGACCCTTTAGCCCTTTCTATTTCGTAATAAAAGATTCATGAGAAATAAGCAATTCTATATTTTTTTCACTCTTAAATCATTATTGTGGTCTAAAGTCTTCGTTCATGAAGAGAATTTTTAAAGAAAAAATCTACAATCTTTTATATTCTTCACTTACTATGTCATGAAGCCATAGCAGAAAAAGGAGATGATTGAGCGCGGTTCAACTCTGTATTTTATTATCATCTCAATTACAGTTCAAACGTTTAAGTAAGTTTAAATATTCATTAAAGCCTTTGATCTTTATTTAAAATGTTGTGAGTAATGAACTAAAACCGTTTGATGTTATGTTCCTCTTACTCCCAAAGTCCGAGGCTAATAAGAGAAGTTTTGGAGGAAACATCTACACTTCTACATATTTTCACACGATCATTATTGTGGTCTAAAGTTTTAGTTCAAGAAGAGAATTTTTAAAGAAAAAATCTGCAATTTTTCAACTCTTTCACTTACTATGTCATGAAGTCATATCAGAAAAAGGAGATGATTGAGTCGAGTTCAACTCTGAGTTCAAACTTTTAATTATGTTCCTTTCACTCTCAAAACCTTAGCCTAATAAGAGATTTTTGAGAGAAAACATCTGCAATTTTTATTCTCTTCCCATTACTATGTTAAAAAGTCAAATTGAACTTAGATACTAAGCCCTTAATGTGTCATATTTTACATTGCATTCAGGGTGTGCACATACAGGCTACAGTAAAAAATGCTTATGTGTCAAATTATAAAGACATAGTAAAGGAGTATAGTCTTTTTGGAATGACACACTTTGAAGTTAGACCTAATAATGGTGATTACAAGCCTGTCGAACATGCTTTTAGATTATATTCTGAAGAAAGCACAAAGATCAAGGAACATGAGTTTCCACTAGAGCCACATTTCCCTATGAATTTCTACCGTTTAAAATTTTTTGCATAAATTCTTAAAATGCCAAGAAGGACCAGAGATGACTTATTTGGTAATTCACTTATACGATAGTATTTTCCATTTGTTAAAACCTCACCATAGTTATTTTTTGTATCTAAGATACAATTGAAAAGCTCCACTTAGAGAGTATCAAACTATCTTTGCAACCAAATGGCTTGTCCCGAGTAGCAGAGTTCATCCTAGAATATCTGAAGTGAGTCCATATTAAATTTAACTATCATAAATGATTAATTATTACAAATGCTTTCTGTAATTCTTCATTAAAAATACAAAAAAGTTATTTGGTTTAAATGAGCCTTTTGTTGAGACTTTCATTGTTTATTGTGTGATCCTCTTACATTGGACTTGATACAAATGACCTTATTTAACCCTCTATCATTTCCCCAGGCTAAAATTTATCTTATGATTTTGCAGAGATCAAGGAACATGAATTTCCACTAGAGCCACATTTCCCTATGAATTTCTACCGTTTAAAATTTTTTGCCTAAATTCTTAATATGTCAAGAAGGACCAGAGATCACTTATTTGGTAAAGCAGACAATGAGCGATGCAATGAATTATCGGGTATTTTGTTCAATCTAATGTCTTTGGATGTATGCATTGGGGTTTCTTTACTACAAATAATGCAATTGAAGCAATTTTTCCAAAAGAAAAGGCTGGTTTAGAATTTCTTTTCCGGTTTAGGCAATTTCCTCAGAGGGTTGTAGGTTTTTTATGGAATTCACTGTTTCACTTTGCATTTGTTCAAATGCTTAATACATAGTAAGTGGTGAGTGCAAGGTTTTTTTTTCATATCTCCCAATTTCATGCATAATATTGGGCAAGTTTATTGAGTTTATTTGGCACATGTAAATTTTGCTGAGTTTTAAATGTGATTGAGATGTATTCATTTTATAAATTTAGAGTTGATGTCCATAAGATGAAGGTCATATGTTTGATTTCCATAGATTTGGGGTGTATGCACAATTGTTTCTATGAATTTTGTGGATCTATTTACCCCAATGTAATATTGTTTGATCCAATAGTTATTTGGAACTATTAGATTTCATTGTAAGCTTAAACACATGGGTCACCTCAGGTCACAAAATATGTCAGAGAAGAATTGAGACTTGGCACATGGCTTTTAGATGGAATAAGCGAGTTTCAAAAGGAGTGAAGGTGTTATTGTTTACACTTAAAAGATAAGGTTAATCCTTCTGACTTAAACAACCACAAAACCAAGATTACTTATAGAAATACTAATCATAATGTAATTGAGCAGAGAAATATGTTAGAGTTGTGAAGTTGACACGTAATACTCGCTATTTGCCTCATTACTATCATTACCCCTATAGTGAATTCCATAAGCCTGTAGTCACTAGGTGTACAATGGGGAAAACAGGATGTTAGCATTGAGGAGACCAATATGGTGTTTACTTATTTTCTTGGGGGCAAATTAAATTTTATACAACAAATTTATTTTCATTCTGGGGGGCCATGCCCCCCCTAGGACTACAAAATGTGTTTTACATAAAAAAAAATTGGAAGTTGACTAATGATGGTGTGTTTGATATACTCTCACCATTTAATAACTATCTATAGTAAAATAGTAAATAAACATTGGTTATTCAAATTGGATAATGTGACCAAGTCATTAATATATATATGTTTTACCTTGTATCCAGGTGTTTGAATACGGGCTATATATAGTCGAGAATACTTATGTCTCGGATTTCAAGTGAGCACAATCTTTTTACAAGCTGGCATGACATGCCTTCAGATTAAATTTATAGAGAACACTAAGATTAGGGAAAACAAGTTTTCATTAGAGCACATTTCTCTAGGGATCTTGACGGCCTAAAACAACAACAACAACAACAACATCCAAGCCTTAGTCCCAAAAGATATTGGGGTCAGCTAACATGAATCGATACATAATATCACCACCAAAAGGAAAAGAAAGAAAATAAAGATTAAAAAAATAAGCTAATATAAAAAGATAATATAAAACGAGATGAGTATACCTAAAATGATAAAATAAAAAGGACAAAAATAAAAAGGACAAAAATAATGTTTATACATATAAGGATAAAAGAATAAAAAAAATGAGGGGAAAAAAAATACGAGATCACTCCTCCACACGAATACCCGCCCTCCACCTTGCTCTCTCCAAAGCCATACCCTCATCCAACCCAAGAAGAAGCATATCACTTCGGACTCCCCTAACCCACGTCTGTTTGGGTCTTCCTCTCCCTCTCTTCCCTACCTCTTCTCCACACATCTCAACACGTCTGACAGGTGCATCACTCGGTCTTCTACGCACATGACCAAACCACCGTAGGCGAGACTCCCGCATATTGTCTTCAATAGGTGCTACTCCCACTCTTTGTCTGATTGTCTCATTTCGCACGGGGTCCTTCCTAGTAAGCCCACACATCCAACGCAACATGCGCATCTCTGCCACACTCATCTTTTGGATGTGACATTGTTTCACCGCCCAACACTCTACGCCATACAGCAGTGCAGGCCTAATTGATGTCCTATAAAATTTACCCTTCAGTCTAGTGGGCATACCTCTATCACATAGAAATCCTGACGCACTCTTCCACTTCATCCACCCTGTTCTGATTCTACGGGATACATCTCCATCTAGCTCACCGTCCTTCTGAATTATGGAGCCCAAGTAACGGAACATATCGCTGACCGGTATCTCCTTACCATCTAGAGTAATTCCACTATTACCACTGCTTCTACCTCCACCAAACTTGCACTCCATGTACTCTGTCTTGCTCCGACTTAGTCTGAAACCCTTGTTCTCCAATGTCTGTCGCCATACTTCCAACTTTGCTTTAAGACCTGATTGCGTCTCATCAATCAATACAATATCGTCAGCAAACATCATGCACCATGGTATTTCGTCTTGAATTGACTTAGTAAGTTCATCCATGACTATGGCAAATAGGAAAGGGCTCAGAGCCGATCCTTGGTGCACTCTGATAGTAATAGGGAACTCTGCAGTCCTCCCTACATTAGTACGAACACTTGTAGTACAATCCTCATACATATCTGTGATGATACTGATATACTTGTGTGATATGCCTTTTCTAGTTAAGGCCCACCAAAGAACTTCTCGAGGTACTCTATCATAAGCCTTTTCTACTTCAATGAACACCAAATGCAGATCCTTGTGAGCGTCTCTATACTTCTCCATAAGCTGGCGAAGAAGGTGAATTGCCTCGGTTGTTGAGCGACCAGGCATAAAACCGAATTGATTCTCTGAAATCTTCACAGTTCTTCGAAGTCTTTGCTCAATCACTCGCTCCCAAAGTTTCATGGTGTGACTCATAAGTTTAATCCCTCGATAATTGGCACATTCTTGTACATCACCTTTATTCTTGAATAAGGGGATAAGAGTACTCTTCCTCCAACTTGTCGGCATCTTGTTGTTTCTCCAAATCATGTTGAAGAAACTTGTTAACCACTCGACGCCTCTCTCTCCCAAACTTCTCCAAGCCTCGATCGGTATGCCATCTGGACCCACTGCTTTCTTCTGCCCCATCTTCCTCAGAGCCTCCTTAACTTCCGTTGTTTGGATCCTTCTCACAAAATCACGATTTACCATACAATCCGGTATGGTCAAATCACTGACATCTTGCGCTTTGTTCCCGTTGAATAGTGTATCAAAGTAAGACCTCCACCTCTTTTTTATCTCCCCGTCCTCCATTAGTACTCTTTGATCGACATCCTTCACACACTTAACTTTTCCTATATCCTGAGTCCTACGGTCATGAAGACGAGCAAGTCTGTAAATATCTTTTTCTCCTTCCTTATAGTCCAATTTTGCATACAATTCCTTGTTCACTTTTCCTCTTGCTTCCTTTACAGCTTTCTTTGCTCTTCTTCTAGCCTCCTTGTACTCCTCTATGTTCTCGTCGCTCCAACTTTTGCCCAATTTCTTATAGCATTCCCTTTTGATCCTTATTGCTTGTTTCACCTCATCATTCCACCAAGATGTGTCCTTTTTTGGTGGTAGACTTCCTTTAGATTCTCCAAGTATCTCTTTCGCCACTTTGTTAAAGGTGGACTCCATTGATAACCACACATCATCCACATGTGCGTCATTATCAAAGGACCATACATCTTCCTCCAACATTTTCTGCGTAAAAGTTTGTTGGAGATTCCCCTCTAACCTCCACCACTTTATCTTCGGTTCCCCTTGTACCTTAACCCTCCTTCTATTTTTACCTTGAAAATCAAGCACAAGCATCTTATGTTGAGTGACAACACTCTCACCTGGGATAACCTTACAATCGGTGTAGCTAGTTCTCCAAGTCGTCTGTACTAAAAAGTAGTCAATTTGGGTACTATTAGCTCCACTTCTATAGGTCACAAGGTGAGATTCTCTTTTCTTGAACCAAGTGTTCATCACAGCCAACTCATATGTCAAGGCAAAATCCAAAATGTTCTTACCCGCTTCATTTCTAGTGCCAAAACCATGTCCGCCATGAATACTCTCAAAACCATCACAACTCGGGCCCACATGTCCGTTGAGGTCGCCTCCTATGACCAACTTCTCTCCCCTTGGCACTCGTCGCACCACCTCCTCAAGATCTTCCCAAAATTGTTGAGTGATAGATGCATCCAATCCCACTTGTGGTGCATAGGCACTTACCACTGACACGATCTCATCTCCTATTATCAACTTAATGCTCATGATGCGGTCATTCTTCCTGAAGACTTCCACCACACCCTCAACATAATCCTGTGCCACCATAATGCCCACTCCATTTCTGTTCCTTTCTCTCCCCGAATACCACAACTTAAAACCTCCAGGATTGATCTCACGCGCCTTTTCATAACCTCAGCTATCTCAGATGATCTTCCCGTAAGCGAGCCAACATTCCATGTCCCAAAACGCAATCTAACACCCTGCCTTTTCTTCTTCACACCACATCGCCTCCCACCGTGCCCTTGCATATTTGACACCATCCCCGGGCATTGGAGTGGCGCGTTGCTTACGGCAATGACCTAGCTGTAGCGATATTCATATTTCGATTCATGTCATGTGATGTGACTAAGTAGTACTGTTGGCTGTCACGCGCCTACCATAGCACCCTCCTCCTTTATCTTGGCTTGGGACAGGCATGATACCAAAAAATTGATCTCATGGCGGAGTTTGTACGGCCTAAAACGTTTTACAAAAATTCTTAATATGCCAAGGAGCATAGAAATGAAGGAAATTCTAAATATGCAGGGGTTTTGAAACTTCGATGCCAAAACACGGACTATGGTTTAGGATATGAAGATACGAGTTTTCGTAAAGTTGTAATCCGAATGAAATAGTATTTAGAACAAACAGAAGCTATTTGGAAACCCCTCTTCCGACAAACAAAAAGAATAAGAAAAAGGTGGGGGCATTTATAAAATAACTCTCATTTTTCTTTAGTGTGGTAACGTTTTCATTTGTATTCCATTTTTTACAAAAATCATACTATGTATTAAAATTCATAACTTTTTATGAGATTTCATATGACACCAATACACATATATAACGTTTTTCAAAAAAAAAATGAAGTTACAACTGTAGAGGTTTTTAGACCGACAAGAGTTGAAATTCATATATGCAATAAGCCTTGGAAATAAAGTTAATACTGGAAACAATTTATATGCACTTGAATAAGCTTTGGAACTATTGGTCAGTTCTTAGACAATTTGTTCATTTGTCAAAAGACTAGTATATGCTGAAATGGGATTTCAAAGATGGGTTAATTTCATAAAAGAATGTGAAGTC